TTGAGGAACCTCTGGAGCTGCTCCTGAGGCAGGTCAGTGATTCATGCCCTTGATAAACCTTTAGATCTTCTTATCCAAACTCTGATCTTTTTATAAAATTAGGAATTTTTAAAGAAGGAGAATATAGAAACTCCAATTGGAGACTCCAAATCCAGCCTGAAGTCAGAAGTGAGGACAAAAACCTCCTGGAATCTCCTAAAAAATAGATTTTTGCCCAATTTTAGCTGGGAATTCCTTGGAGGAACCTCTGGAGCTGCTCCTGAGGCAGGTCAGTGATTCATGCCCTTGATAAACCTTTGGATCTTCTTATCAAAACTCAGATATTTTTATTAAAATTTAGAATTTTTAAAAATGGAGAATATTGAAACTCCAATTGGAGACTCCAAATCCAGTCTGGAGCCAGGATTGAGGGCAAAAACCCACTGGAATCTCCTAAAAAATTGATTTTTGCTCAAGAAACAGCTCTGGCCTGGCTGGGAATTCCTTGAGGAACAGGGGAACAACTCTGGAGCTGCTCCTGAGGCAGGTCAGTAACTCAGGACCTTTGGATGTTCTTATCAAAACTCTGTTATTTATTAAAATTTAGAATTTTTAAAGATGGAGAATATGGAAACTCCAATTGGAGACTCCAAATGCAGCCTAAAGCCAGGAGTGAGGACAAAAACCTCACTGGAATTTCCTAAAAAAAAAGATTTCTACCCAATTCTGGCTGGGAATTCCTTGGAGGAACCTCTGGAGCTGCTCCTGAGGCAGGTCAGTGACTCAGGACCTTTGGATCTTCTTATCCAAACACTGATCTTTTTATAAAATTAGGAATTTTTTAAAGATAGAGAATATGGAAACTCCAATTGGAGACTCCAAATCCAGCCTGAAGCCAGGACTGAGGACAAAAACCTCCTGGAATCTCCTAAAAAATTGATTTCTGCCCAATTCTGGCTGGGAATTCCTTGGAGGAACCTCTGGAGCTGCTCCTGAGGCAGGTCAGTGATTCATGACCTTTGGATCTTCTTATCAAAACTCTGATGTTTTTTAAAATTAAGGATTTTTAAAAATGGAGAATATTGAAACTCCAATTGGAGACTCCAAATCCAGCCTGGAGCCAGGATTGACAACAAAATCCCACTGGAATCTCCTAAAAAATTGATTTCTGCTCAAGAAACAGCTCTGGCCTGGCTGGGAATTGTTGGAGGAACAGGGGAACAACTCTGGAGCTGCTCCTGAGGCAGGTCAGTGATTCAGGACCTTTGGATCTTCTTATCCAAACACTGATCTTTTTATAAAATTAGGAATTTTTTAAAGATAGAGAATATTGAAACTCCAGTTGGAGACTCCAAATCCAGCCTGAAGCCAGGACTGAGGACAAAAACCTCCTGGAATCTCCTAAAAAAAGAAATTTCTGGAGGTGTTTGGGTGTCTGTGGGTGCTGCTGGCACCTACCTGGGCAGGTGTCCCCACCTCCTCTGGCACTTGCTGCAGGGGGAAAGGACAAATCTCCTAAAATT